CTGATTGTTGATGTCTTAGACCTCGTGCACCTAGGAGTATATTCCTATCTCCTTGAACACATACTCCTCCTAACCCCAATGTAAAGTCACTCGTCTTCCAAGAACCATCAACCTGACAACGAAATTGTGTTGATGGTTGTGCCAATGGGTGAGATTCCGCCTCATAGACAATTGAACTCTCCGGTATATCGAGTTGTGCATCAATCTATGCCAAAAAATTCACTCTCCGTCAAACAAATCTTATTTGAGAAGAAAAATCTTATATGTTTGTATTTATCAATTATAGTATAAAATCAACATTTTCTAACACGTGTTAAAAAAGTAGTGCCATGTGTCATCTTCTGGAGAGTGCTGGCCTCTTATTATATTATAGATTTATCATTTTCCAAGACAATTAAGTCATATGAGTACCAATAAAATTCATCTGGTAAAAAAAAATGCATTAATTAGAACGAAAACATCGATCCTTTTTAAAAAAAAAAAAAAACCAAACTATCATTCTCTAAGGAACGGATGGAGTATTTTACTAGGAGTAGACAATTTATTCGTGTTTCTAATTCTAATACAGTATATGGAAGATCATTAATAAAGTTATTAACTTATCTTTTCTCTTACTCTTTTTTGCTCTCTACGAAAAAAGCTCTCATCGTTTCAAAGCTTTTCTGATTAGATCTGGGTTCCGGCCGGCAGTTGTGGGCTTTCACTACCACATCGTCGGTCCAGATTATTTATATAGTTTTCCTTTGTTTTTGTGTATATAGTTGCTTAGATCTATATTTTTCGTTTAATCGGACCGGTTTTCCAGCTTGACCGGTTGATTTTTTGGCGCAGTCCAGTTCTCCTCTTTTTACAGATTTTCAGATCGGCAAATCTAGTAAAGCTAGCTTCATCAGTTATGCTCCAATCTCTTATTCCCTAGGAATAATGATACCTTCACTCCTCCATTGCTAAGCATTTGCCTTTTTAGAAGGTTGTGGAGAGAAATGTCCGATGGTGAGAAGTGAACGGAGATGAGGTTTACGGATGATGGAGGAAGCGGATCTAGGTAATATCGCTAGATCTATTCTGTTTTAGGGTTTCTATGGTGGTTTGGGGTAGAGCTTGGCGGATTGGTGGAATTAGCCACAAGGTCTGTTGTGTTAATTTTGCCGGATTTCGTCTCCGATGAAGCTGCAGTGGTGGTTTCCGGTGAAGCTTCATCAACCCTTTTTGTGCTACACGTGTTCTCAACCTTATCTTCTATGTGTGTCAATTGTAATGGGTTCGATTTTTTTTATTATGTAAGGGTTTGGGATCTGCTTCTTAAATCAGTAGATGTTAGCCATTTGGGCTTTTTATAAATCATGGCCGACAAAAACAAAAAAAATACAATACATGGAATTTTTGTTGGGAAAAATAAATTCACTACTTGGTAGACCTCGGTTAGTGCTGGTTACAATATTAGACTTGGCTCTACACTATTTAGGCCTGGTCTAATAAGTTGATGACATGCTATTACCTGCCAATACCTCATCTATGTCAGGTAGAACGAGGTCCTAACTGGCCTCTACCTGACAATACATCATCAACGTCACGTAAACTGAACTAATAACTCGCCTTTACCTGACGATACGTCATTTACATCAAGTAGAACGAGGTCATAGCTTACTGATACCTCACGAGGGGTTGTCTACACGAGATAAAGTCAGATAATAACATGACTAATACCTGACTACACGTCGTCTACGACATGCTAAACGATGTAATAACTTGCTAATACATGACAATGCGTCATGTATGTCACGTAAAATGAAGGAATGACTTGTCAGTAGCAAGTGAGANCTCGTTACTTTGTTGTTATCAAGTNGTGGNCGNCGTTACGACGTCNTTACAAGGCTAGTTAAGTTATTTGATATAAAATAAATACAAGTCTATTAAGATAACTTCGCATGGACTTGGCGGTGGGAAGTACAGCGAGATCCATCATTATCTTGAGTTCATAATATGAAGAGGTAAATGATTCGAGTATATAAAAAACCCCAATTATTAGGGAGATAATCATGACGTCAGATCTCATCCTAATCCGAAAAGAATTTGATCAAGTCTTATAAATAGGGACATCCAAGAGAAGAGGGGGGCATCGAAAAACACACATAGAAAACCTAAGAGCTACGTCTTCACAGCATCCCAGCGATCGCAACTAGAGACCTAGCCTTATTTTCCACATCCAACTAAGTTTTTTATAACGCTTTAGACATCTAGACGTTGTAATAAAATTCGGCTACAAGCCTACTTCGTTGATTAATAAAACGATACTTCTCTCTATCATTCCGTAGTTCTGTGTACTTGCGAACCTGGTTAAATTTTCCCGAACAATTTTGAAAACAAACATATACGTTTCCAAATTACTTTGATATACAAAAGTAATTAATGGCTATGTATGTCTTTTTTTTTTGTTAAAAACTTTTCCTTTTTTGGCTATGTATGTCGTACCAACTTTTTCCTTCAAAACTTTAAGTTCATTTGTATCATTTGCATATTGCTTTTCAACTACCATGAATGCTCTCTTCGACCTTTCTTCTTCTCCATGCATTTTGGAAAATCGCATTACAGTTGAATTAATCTCCTGTAAAACAAAATAAAAAGTAATGATTTGTAAATTGTAATGCCTATAGGTATAATTACGCTGAATGTAGACTTTAAGAATGTCGAGTGTTATATTCCGTTCACCAATCACTGTATACTCAAATTTTAAAAAGAATCCCATTAACAAGATTTTCTTGGAAAATGTTTAAAAAAATTTAGATCATTTCCAAAGTCTCTCTCGACCTTTCTCCTTCTTATTTCCTTCCTTTAAAGTAGTCAAGATTCGTAGTGAGAGTTTACTCCATATTTGTCTCTATTAATTCTTCTGCACGAGTCCCCTTAAAGATTTGCTTCTTATTGTCATTCTATTTGCCTTGTGAGCAAAGTTACGGTCTTAGGTTAATTCTCGTTGTTGCTGCAATGAACAATCTTATAGAAAGACAATGGGCCATGGAGAAAAGATCCCTCTTTGATAGAGTATCTTCTTGGTCTATCAAAGATATTCTCAACAGAGATCTCTACAAGCAACATGTTTTGATATCTTTTTTAGTCTTTTTGCAATAGCTTTTATATATCTTTGGTATTTGGTACTTTTGCATGACAATTCTCATCGATGTTGTTTTATTGTAACAGAGAAAGACAATACCAGACAGGTTTAGATCCGTTGATGAATACTATCAGTGTTTTGTTCCTCATGTACTCGAGGAAACTCGAACCGAGTTGTTCTCGAGCTTCAAATCATTACCGAAATCTCCTGTTTTTCAAATACATTCGATAAAGACAAGGACAGTTAAGGAATCAAGTGGAAGCTCATCAAACAGTTTGCTCCACGATATAACGATAATGGCTGCTGACAATGCAAAGTACCAGCCAAAGAGTGGAGATCTTATTACTCTCTCAAAGGAAAGACCAAGACGAATTGATGACTTGAATCCTTTACTTCTTGCCTACGTATTTGATGCAGCGTAGAATTAGGATAATTGTCTTTTATTTGTATTTTAATTATATTATTTATTTTGGTGTTTACCTCTTAGAGTTTCTAGAATATTCCAGAGTTTTCTTAGGGTTTTTAGGATTTCTTATAAATAAGCCCTAGAGGCCTCCTTTTGTATTCAGTTGATTGATTAATAAAATTAAAAAGCTTTGTGCTTTTCAGAGAATAGTATTCTCGAACCCTTGTTTTCAGTAGATCCAGGGATATCTCAACGAATCCAGGAAGGCATTGGTCTTAGGTATTCTCAGACTAAATAAGATCCTTGCATCTATTCTAGCTTCCGCTACGTCAGTTGATATCAAAGACAGTCCCTTTGATTTCTCAATCGAAGACCGATTCTGGTAATCATGATGAGTAGTAGTTGCTACACTTTCGAGGGCGAAAGTCTTTTTGTCGAGAGAGAAGAGATCCATGAGATCTACAGAGAGATTCATGGTGATCCCATCTACGATGTATATGAAGATGATGTTCTGGTTATTGATTTTATCTTCAAAGCTGATACTTTTAGGAATAAGATCTGTGCAAAATCCAGGCGAAATCAGATCTGTCCGGAAGTCATGCAGAATCCGTCCTGTGCAAAAATCGAGTTTAATCAGTTTCGTGCAGGTTTCGTGGAGGATTCGATCTGTGCGAAATTCGGGCGATTTCAGATCTGTTCAGAAGGCGTGCGAAATCCGGTTCGTGCATATTTAGGGTTTCATCAGGTTTGTGCAAAATCCGGTTTTTACCAGAAAAATGGATTTGAAGACTTGTATGGTGAAAACCCTATTGAAGATTCGAGGACGAATCTTTCTTGGTCGCGGGGACCTGATGCAGCACAGATACAAGATTCGAGGACGAATCTTTCTTGGCCGGCGAGACCTGATGCATCGTAAAATTAGGATAATTACCTTTTATTTGTATTTTAATTATATTATTTATTTTAGTGTTTATCTCTTAGAATTTCTAGAATATTCCAGAGTTTTCTTAGGGTTTTTAGGATTTCTTATAAATAAGCCATATAGGCCTCTTTTTGTATTCAGTTGATTGATTAATAAAATTAAAAAGCTTTGTGCTTTTCAGAGAATAGTATTCTCGAACCCTTGTTTTCAGTAGATCCAGGGAGATCTCAACGAATCCAGAAAGGCATTGATCTTAGTTATTCTCAGACTAAATAAGATCCTTGCATCTATCTAGCTTCTGCTACGTCAGTATTCAAGGTTGATGGTGATCTTATAATCTTTGTTCATTCATCTAGATCGATACCTTATTCTACGGAATATCCGCTTCGTTTCGGTGTTTTCCTCATGACTTTAACCACAAACACTTGGATTTGGAATGCCTTGCACAATGAAGCTTCCAACTCGACTCTCATCCAGAGTGTGCTGCAGCCAAATGCTCTGGTAAGTCTTAAGAAACGATCCTCTCTCATTAAAACATGGCCCTACTCTATGCTTCAATTGAGTAATATGTGGTTTTGCTTGTGATGCAGGATACAGAACAATGTTTTTGCTATAGAGATGATGTTATTGACATTTCTGCCTGTGTTAATAATATCATTCGTTCGACAAGCTTGAACTCTTCTCAACAAGAAGCAATCTTGGGTTGCCTTAAGACAAGGAGCTGCAATCACAAGAACAGTGTGAAACTGATATGGGGACCTCCTGGAACTGGCAAGACCAAGATAGTTGCGACGCTTCTCTCTGCCCTTCTCAAGCTAAAGTGCAAAACTGTGGTGTGTGCTCCTACAAATACAGCGATTGTAGAAGTTGCTTCGAGGCTCTTGTCCTTATTTAAAAAAAATTCTTCATCAGAAAATGCTACTTACAGGCTGGGAGGTATAGTTCTATCTGGAAACCGAGACCGAATGGGGATTACCAAGAATGATCATGTTCTTCTCGATGTGTTTCTTGATCATCGCATAGGTAAACTTGAAAACCTGTTCTCACCATTTTCTGGATGGTCCCAGAGATTAGAGTCGCTCATAGATTTTCTTGAGAACACCGAGGCTAAGTACAATGACTACGTAGATCGAATGGAGGAGAAAGAGGAAAGATATGTAAACATTCTTACATTTGGAGGTTTTGTAAGGAAATGTTTCAAAGGCTTAAGTGAAGAAGTGGAGATAGATATGGTTAATTTGTACACACATCTTCCCAAGTCTTTCATTTCATCTGAAGATGTGAATAAAATGATCGCAGCCCGTCAAGCTCTTGAGCATGTCAGATATTTCTTGCAGGAGAATGCTTCTCGATACGATTTCAAGAAAGGTAGTTTCAAATTGGATTGCTTCAACAGAATAATCAGTCTTGACTGCCTTGCGGCTCTGCGTTTGCTTCAAAAAATTGTTGAGATACCAGACTTGCTTGAACATGAAGACAGAAGGAAGTTTTGTCTACAGAACGCGCATATAATCTTCTGCACAGCCTTCGGAGCTACGGAGATGAATGCGGGAAGAACAGGAGATATAAAACTTGTTGTAATCGACGAGGCGGCTCAGCTTAAAGAATGTGAATCAGTTGCTACATTGCAGCTTCCTGGTTTGCGACATGCTGTTCTTATAGGAGATGAGTATCAGTTACCTGCAATGGTTCATAACGAAGAATCAGAGAAGGCGAAATTCGGAAGAAGCTTGTTTGAAAGATTGGTTCTGCTTGGTCATAACAAACACTTGATTGATGTTCAGTACCGAATGCATCTTTCGATTAGTCGGTTTCCGAACATGGAGTTCTATGGTGGAAGAATTAGAGATGTTGTGAATGTTCAAGAAAGCGTATATCAAAAGCGATTTCTTCAAGGCAACATGTATGGTTCCTTCTCGTTCATTAATGTTGGTCGAGGGAAAGAAGATTTTGGTGATGGACATAGTCCCAAGAACATGGTTGAAGTTGCTGTGATTTCTGAAATCATATCCAATCTTTTCAAAGGTATATTCTTTATTTATTTACTAATCAATATGTTAATTTCCATTAGAGATTCTATTTGATAAATTTTGGTTTTTGAAAACAGTTTCAAGCGAGACGAGGATGAAGATGAGTGTTGGAGTGGTTTCACCTTACAAAGGTCAAGTGAGAGCAATCCAAGAGAGAGTGGGAGATAAGTACAGTCGCTTATCAAATGAGCTTTTTACTCTGAATGTTCGATCAGTTGATGGGTTCCAAGGAGGTGGCACTGACTCGAGCAAGGCACTGTTTATGGGTGATTGGAAACGAGACGACTTTGGCTTTGAGTGGTTCCATTTGGGCGAGACTGATAAGTGAGTCGAGGACACGTGGCTGCTTCTACGATGCTAAAGATGAGAGGAATCTAAGGGATGCCATGAATAATGCTTTGCTTGAAGATGTGTCTTCCAGATTTGGATCTCTTTGGAATGGGAGAAGAAATGCTTGGTAGTTTTTTTTTCTTTTAATATATTTCCTATGAAAGACTCTGTATCGGATTTGATTTCTACTATTTCATATGGTATTTTACTATGTGAATATTACAAAAAATGCCATTGTGTTATGAATAAGAGAAAGAGAGAAGGAATTGTATTGTCTTATTTCATGAATAATACAGAGT